ATAGCAACATTCGTTCAGCTGAAAAATATTGCTGTTATTGCTCATAGTGTGGCGAAATACCAGAATTCGTCGATTCCCTGACGTGCTCAACATTTGGGCTTGTCTGATGGCTCATTGTGGCGAATTTTACAAGTGGATTTAAAGCTCCATCCGTGCAAAGTCCAACTCACTCAAGAACTTAAGTCCACTCAAGAAGTTAAGCCTGAAGACCATGCGCAATCCATAACAGACGCAAATTGCGTGATTGAACAACAAGCCGTTGATGATGATTTTTTGAGCCGAATTTTCTTCAGCGATGAGGCTTGTTTTTTGTTTGGTGGTTACGTGAATAAACAGAACAGCCGTATATGGGTCTCTTAAAATCCTCAGGTGATCACAGAAAGGCCTTTGCATCCTGAAAAAGTGACCGTATGGCGTGCATTATGGTCCGCTGGTTTTATTGGCTAGTATGTTTTTGAAAACGATCAAGGACGAGCCATAACAGTCAATTCTGAGCGCTATGAACCCATGTTAACTCAATATGTTTGGAGGAAAATTGAAGAATATGATCTGGCAGACATGGAGTTTCAGCAGGATGTGGCAACGTGTCACACAACACTGGCAGTTAGAGCCCTATTGTAAGAGAAATTTCCAGGACGCGTAATTTCGAGATTGATTGATGTCGATTGGCCCGCAAGATCCTGCACCTTAACAGCGTTAAATTTCTTTTTGTGTGGCTATGCGAAAGTTTGTGTTTATGCCAACAATCAAACGAAAGCCAATATCCGTGACATTATGACCGGGATATTACCGGAAATGTGTAGAAAAGTCATTCCACATTACCTGAAAAGGATTGAGGCGTGTAGGAAGTCCCGTGTAGGACATTTAAATTATATTGTTTTTTACGTGTAATCGCAAGGTTTTATCTTTATATTTAATTAAATATCTCGTCTCCATCTGAATATTTGGTGTTTTTTTTTACTTTCCCAAGCATAAAATGGATAACCCTGTATTTATGTAAGTGTTGTGAGTTTTGGTTTGCTAGGTAGGTTATTTTACTGGTTTCAAAGGCAAATTATTTAGAATTATCATGGCGTATTGCTAATAACAATACCTTCATTAGAATATGTAATTATTATTATCTCGAGAAGATGAATTTTGTAGGGCACAGCAACGTTTATGTAACAGTTAATTCAAACAACTCAAATTTAACCTTCCACAATAATATACTGCCGAACTCGAACTCTTTTATTCGTCTCAATTTTTCCGCAGTCATGAATTGTGCGGGTATATGAAAGCTATAATTTAATGACTAGAATGCAATATGAATTCTAGATCAATTACCTTGAATCTCCCTGTATTATCGGAAGGAGTTTACAAGAAGTGAAGTACACACTTATTAATCATCATTTAGAGACAGATATAAATGTGAAATTTGCCTTCTTTTTATTATATTGCAATCTGTTGGTAAAATAAAGTGGACACACTCTTAATGTATGAATAAAAGTATATTGATAAATGATAAAGAACAACACAGTACAAAAGTAGATTTCCGAACACGAAAACGATTCTGCATCAACAGCGATTTGATGACGACTAACTAAAAAGGTTGCTCTCGCGATGAACAAAAATTATGCTGCCTAAGCAATATGGCTTTGTAGTACACTGTGGTCCATAATATATATGACTGAACTTATATTGATAATATTAAAAGCATTTTGATTATAGTCTTATTCTAACACAATCCTAGAAGTTCAGCTTTTTTTATTTAAGGTGATGTTGCCGCAACTAAAGCTTTCACGCAGAGAAAACATAAAATATATCCTGAAAGCTGAATTCCTAAACGATTGATAATTTATAACAACCTTTTACAGAAACATTAAGGTGGCTTAAAATATGTAAGCAGTAACACACTAATAACTCCATTAAATTGACCGAAAAACGAAACTACTTCTGTGGTTGAAACATTTTTTTATGTCAGCAATTTACATATTTTTTTTTTGCCACAAGATTGTATGGCGAAACTGCACATTGAGGGATTGAACTGTGATACAGCCACCTATATAGTGCAGCAAAGTCAAGATTCCGGTTAATTTAATGGGGTATTGTTGGCATTGCGGTCCGGATTGAATAGAAAAATAATATTTTTTTTTAGTTAATAGTCTTTTGGCCGTATATTGTTAGATTTCTTTCACTTGCTTGATTGGTATGTTCGACAGAGCGTTTGTAATGGCAACTGAGATTAACGACGAATTCCTTGGGGACTGCGAAGGGTTTTCATGTGGTTCGAATTTCTGTGTTGGGGCCCGGCTATCGTTTTTATCACTTTTCCGCTCGACTTGATTACATGCACGAAGAAGTTTCTTCCATAATGGAGTTAACTGAAGTAGAAATGAGAATTCATCATGTGAGCAGATGTATTCAAAAAAAATCAAAGACTTTGCTTCTAGCGATACATATAGTCATTTCTCACAGAACGTTCGAATTTCTCACAGACGAATCGTTAAGCCTCAATATATGCAAATAAAATTATAAAGATCTTTTGTGAGTTTGTTTTTCACAATTTAGTTCTTTGTACCAAGCCATTTGAATACGCGGAATTTGGAAAAACGATCTAATAATACAATTTGTGGCATACAAACTGGTTCAGTTTATAACGGTCGTGCTGTAATTTGAGACGTGAATGCACCTTAATTGCATGCGACCAAAATCTTCTATCCTGAAGAACCATCAACAGCGTTAAACCTGCGTTTCGCCGTAGTTATTATTTGGAGCGGTTATGACATTATTTTGTTTCCATGCATAATTCGATGTATATTTATTCTTTTAAAGGGGAACCATACCCTTGTATAGTATATTGACCGATTGAGAAAAATAGTTAAGCTAAGAAATGAGTAAAATCAATGTTATTCGACTGTTTAAAAAATAAATCTTCTTCGGTAAACTTCCCGAAACTAATGCAGAAACTAAAATAATTTGTCTTTCTCTTGTCGATAATTTTGATCAGAAACTTAGAGAATGCCTTTATTCTAAAATGTTACTTTCATATGCGTTAGTGTTTGCAAAAAACTCGATATTTCTAGACTTTAAGCTTCGGCTGCAATTTAGAAATTATTAAGGCTTTTATTTGGCAGGGATCAGAGTAACAGTACTGCAAATACAATACAATGCAAAACAATTTGTAATTACGTAATATACTTTAAGTGTTAGAATATACAGGGTAATTAAAAAAAATTAGAATATTTTTCATATGTCATACAGGGTGATTAAAAAATGACGTCATTCCTCGGGGGGTGTTTAGGGAGTACAGGAAAAACAGTAAAAATATTATTGAATATTCTGATGCAAGAAGGGAATATGTGCAAAATTAAAAAAATATATTATTCTGTCTATAAGTAACAGAATATGTTCTTTAACTATGGTGCAAAACTGGTAATTGTGCGATGAATAGCTACCGAATTATAAGCGATGTCTTGGATCAAGAACAAGAATGTTACATGTGTCGTGATACTTATCCCGTTCTTGCACCACAAACAATTTATTTATTAACCGTGCCGATCAAACCCCTTGGCTGCAGTCGTAAAACGTCCATATTTGTTTACAATATAACGAGTGTGTTTGTCATGGACTTGCTCCTACTCATGTATTAACTAGTTCCACCGACAGGAAGCTCTCGTCAGTGAAGGTCATGTTTTAATTATTATAACATTTTCTGTAAGAGCACTAAATTATTATAATCGAGAAACCTGGTGTTAGTCCTGTACTTTACAGGACTAAGTAACAATGAGAACGCTAAAGACGAAAAAGAGGAGAGTGAACCATTTCAGAGTTCGGGCAGCGAATACCCGCCGTCGTCTGTGTCAAAGTCGCCTGACGAGTATGAACCTGTAAAACGCGTAGAAAAACACGGAACAAAAATGGCAGGTGTGGTGTAAAAAAAAGTGTTTGAAGAAACATTCAGAGTGCATTCGAGTTATCCATCTGTAAGCCGGCACTATGCTTAATTCATGGAATGGGCAAAAAGCGCTTAGAATGCATATCAAGTAACCTGGTGGTCAATATAACTCCTGTCCAGGACAAAAGTGGTAAGCACGCTAATAAAATCAACATAATTCCGGAACCTCTCAGGCAGCAAGTTCAAGAGCATATTGAGATCTTCTCTTGATTAGGATCTTTGTACATCGCATTATTCTCGAACAAAAAGCAACAGGAAATATTTATCCCCGGATTTAAATCATGTACGATCTATTCGAAAACAAGACAAACTGCCATTTAAACTTAAAATTTTCTATGATTAGGGTCATTATTTTCGGGAAAATTTCAAGATCACTTTTGGTCGTACAACGAAAGACACATGCAAAAAATGTGACACGTTGGAAAACAAGATTAAAGTAGCGAAATCCGAAGAAGAAAATAAACATTTCGAAACCCAAAAGTAACTACACATCAGGATGGATCTACAAGCAACTGAAAGAAAAAGCGAAAGGAGCTGAAGCAAATGATTGTGTTGAAGTTTTTTCATTTGACTTTCAGCAGAACATGCTGCTGCTCTAGGGTTTTGGGCACCTCCGAAGGCAGTCATAAATCAGCCCTAAGGGTTTGGTTATTTTAGATATTTTATTATAGCAACAGTTTACGGTCCCAGAAGGAGCTTCAGAGGGAGGGGCGCTGAATGCTGTGCCTGCTATAAGGCAGCGCGGGGTTCCCATAAGACAAGTAGCAGGGGAGAATAATGCGCCCGAAAGAACCCTAAGATAACGGATCGAGAAAAACGACTTGAAAATGGCTGGAAAGGACTGGTAAAAATAGTTTCTAACCAGAAATCAGTGTTTGTCTCTCAGAAAAGATGAAGGCGTTTCACTGGCAAGATCCAAAGGGCTAAATAAAGTGGAGGTCACTAAATACTTTGAATTATTGAGCCAAATTTTTAGTGAAAACGATTTATTGATCAAACCCTTAAAATTTTTAACGTGGATGAAAGCGGACTTCAGTTGAATAATAAACCTGGGAAAGTAATAACAATGAAGGGTAGCAAAGATGTACATGTCACTAAAACACAAGAAAGGGCGGAAACAATCGTCGCCAATTGCAATGTGGAAGGTATGTTTTTACCTCCATATTACATTTTCAATGGAGTAAAGAAGCAGCAAGTTTGGGAAGAAAACAAGCCAGCTGGAGCTGTAATAACAATGCGAAAAAAGTCAGCCTACATTTTTGAGGAAATATTCATAGATTGGTTAACAAATCACTTCATTCCAAGAAAACCAGTTGGAAAAACTTTTTTAATATTAGACGGACACGGATCTCATATGAATTCCTTTGGAATGCTAGAAACAGCTGCTGGTAATGACATTATAATGTTGTGTCTTCTCAGTCACACTACACATTTCTTAAAGCCTTTAGACCAATCATTCTTCAAACCCCTCAAGAGTTCTTTTAAACTTGCATGTGACGAATTTGTAAGAAGTAATCCGAACAAACGCATTGAAAGTCGGCATTTTGGACAGCTTCTAGGAGATGCCTGGTCCCGATCTGCAACTGCACAGACCGGAGTTTCGGGATTCCGTGCTACAGGGATTTATCCGTTAAAACCATCTGTAATAACAGAACATACATTTATTTCTTTTGTGGATATAAATTGTTCATCGAGAAATGAAAACCCAAAGGTGGAACTTGAAGCACAAGCTGTTCAAAAAAACCTAGAAATCTAAATCGAGTCTTAGGAGTCTAATCAGGCTAAGCCTGCTTCACCCTCAGTTCACGAATCTGTCAGTTCAGACTGGATACCCCACCCGACCTAAAATTCTGAAAAATCTTTTACCAACTTTACCAGAAACTTTAACAAATTCTATTAATGTGGAATTAAAAGAAGAAGAGAATAGCTTGCAGCCAAGAAAATTTATAAAAATTCACAAATGATAAAGTTTCCATGAAAATGATTGTTGCCTGTTTAGAGGCCTATGACGCTCGCCAAGAAAATGGAGAATGGATGAAGTGGTTTTAATGTCAAAGATGACTTCATGGTGCTACATGCAGTTCTTATTAAATTTATTGCATGTTATGTGGGGAAAAAAGCGTTACCTCAGTTAAATTTATGTAGGAAGACGTTTCATTTTAATAGCGAAGCTAACGAATTTTCTTTCATAAGGCGTTTCCATAAGTAATTTCTCCTTACTGCAATGCGCCATCACACCTACATGGTGGGGTGAGATTGCCAACTGTATTATTTTCCTATTTTATTTTGTAACAATCCTGTAGTTGGTTTTTTAATTTTGAATTACTTTTGAAATTATTATAAACTTAATTGTTCAATAATTTGTGGTTTTTATTTATTACCAACTAATCAGGTTTTCATCAAATTAATCTTGAACAAATAGTGCAGCGCCTATCCCAACTTTACCCTAACTAGTAGTATATCCGCATTTTCGATATTAATGTCTGTTTTGTTAAAAGAGCTATAAAGTAAGTCAGTACGGTTTTTTATGATCTTTTGACTAAACTTAATAGATGTTTCACTTATAGGGACAATTTCTGTATAAAATCGACTTTTTAAAATACCTGTGGGAACCAGGCATAACAAGCATCTACCTTACCGACTGCGCTTGACAGGAAGTACGTCGCCTCTACAACCGGAACAGGACGAATATATATTATTAATTGTACATATTAAAGTACACAAAGCTCATTACTAACACTGGAAATTCTTTTCTTCAAGTTTGTTATCAATTCTTTTTTTCGATCACCCTGCAACACATACCTTCCAAGATACAGCTGCTTACCATTCTTATTGCGACACCCTGTATGTAGTGTTATAGTTGCTTAGTTGTAATAGGCGACAAGCAAATGTCGTTAAAATAACAGGGTCGAAATTTCATATTTAAAAAGTCATAAGAATTTTAGCTGGTAATTACCAGAAAACATAATGAAACATTTATCATGACAACGCGTAACCAGTAAAAACGACAATTTCTCCTGTTTTTGGTGATAAACTGAATAAACTTTTACGCTTAAAAGAAATCGTGCGAAGTGGTTTCATTTGCAGAAAAATCGGCCTGACTTTTCCTAATCTGTACTGTTTTGCACGATTGTAAACAGGGACCAGTGGCGTGAGTTGAAATTTTGTCAGGAAGTTACTCTCCAATAAACGAAGAAACATACAGTTTTATACATTACATACAATTTTAACCTTGTAGCTCGGTGTGATCATGGTTAAATTTGGAGTTTTTATGGACAGACAAACAGACATACATTCATTTTTATATATACAGAGAAGAGCCATATTCGATCCCTATTTAATCGCTATCAAATGTTAAAAAAATTTGTGTTACTATTATAGCCAATATAATTTCAAACATAATGTAGAGGTTATGGTCAGAAAATGAATGAATCTTTCATGTATAGAATGAATCGATTAATACAGGTATTTACTACGCCTACCACCTGTTTTTAATTGATAAATCGCCGATCGGTAGAATTCAATGTTGGTCCCAAACCAATCGGGATTTATAAAAGTAGCTTGGTCTATTCATTGATGTCCTTGTTTGAAACCATCAGAACTTTGCGTGAAATGGAACTTACGTAGGTGGTAGGAAATGTGTTTTATACTACTTTCAGTAGTGCTCGTAGGTTAAAAACAGGGTGATTTAAAATTTACGTTATTCCTTTTATGGGATGATAGAGGCTCACTTGGGGAGTACGAGAAAAATATTGAAAATATTCTTTTAGAAAATTTCTAGAAGATATTAACAGTTGAAGACCGAATTTCAAGATGACCTTGAAAAACATTGCTGCCGTATTTCTGATATAGTTTTTTGGAAATTTCTCAGTTGTTAATAACAATTAATTTCTATTACTATTTTTTCTGTACTCCTATAACAGCGCCAGACAACACTTCCAGAGGAATGACGCCAATTTTGAATCACCCTGTAGTTTAACTCGTTGTTATATTTTTTTCCAAACTCTTTGGTGGGTATTTCGACTCAAAAATTTTTGCTTTTAAAAAAGACTTTCCTAAACGAATGTCCTCACGTCTTTTATTACAGATTGATAAAGAGTGCTCTAATTTCTTATTTTATAGAGTTCTTTTGATAACGCTAGCAGAAAAAAGCTATCGAAACGTCAGGGTAATTTTTGAGTGCTTGAGTGCGTCGCAGGAAACCCTCTAGGTGATAGTTCTTGATTACTTTTTGATAAATAATTCGTTCTTATTGCCAAATAAGAGCACTCTTTATCAATCTGTAGTAAAATGCCTGAGAAAATTCTGTCTTATTTAAATATAAACGTTTTTGAGGCAAAATACCCAAAAAGCAGTGTGTAAAAAATGAATACGCCTCAACAATATAAAATTTATCTACAACTTATCGTTGTTATATATTTGCTCATTATAGATACTCGCATAGAGCTAATTTGGTACCTGTCAGAATTTCCTTGCCAGTAGAGACACAACCCGGCAATGTACCAATAATTGACTGGTAAAATGTTTAGCAGAACTTGAGTGCTACATTTAATTATTTAGACAAAATGTCGGTAATTAAACATAAATTTCTGTTATTGGATTTTGAATTATATTTGTTTGGCATTAAACATATACCGCATTAATACTAATTAAATGATGTTTCCGATAAAACCATGTCTGCTTCGGCTGGTGAAAAATTAATTTAATATTATCCGGGTGGGCATTATATTTCAAATATCTGCGCAAACGGAAAACCTCTCTCTCGTTTTAAAATTATGTTCGTCTTCAAAACCGAAAGGTTCTGAACTTATTGGAACATAAAGCGAATTTAATAATAACAATGAAAAAATTGTTTAAAAATGGAAATTACAATTTAATTGGGGTTCGTATCAAAATACAGCTGAATAAAGTGGCGTCGTTTAATATTTTTCTAAATTGAAAAAACCATCAATTTGTATATTTGGCTACGCGCACATGCCTTGTGTATTTGGCCTCGAGCATTGTATCGTCATAAAATGAAATGCACTCTCAGAGAAAAGATTTATATTTTAAAAATGTTAGTGATGGCTGCGGTCTATTGTACTTGGTATTCATTGAACATATATTTTAAAGAAGACCCATAAAAATGATCCACTTACTCAAGCGCTTTAGAATTCCGCTTTCAAGGCGCTGACTCGGCAGGAGCAAATAATGTTAGGGCCCTTCCGACAATAGTTCAACTTAAATATTGATGGTTGGTATGAATTTTTCTCTACTATATCACGATCAGATTCTGGAGATTTTAGCGAAGTGCAGTGCGAGCATTTGAGGTAGAAATATTGGAAATTTTGCTCAAATCATTTTCATTGTTTGAAGTTATGAAGGTTTTAATGAAATATTTCTTACTCCCTCTTAGTGTGTTTCGGAATTGGGTCCATGCCTCTTGAAATATATTTTTTTGACTAGATACCCCATAATGTGAAATTCGATGACCTTTAATGGCAGAAAATGGGGTGAGTATTAGCAATTTTATCTAGTCCAAAAATTGCTGGTTTCCAAAATATTGCCAGATTCAAGAATTCATATGGATATGTTGTTGGATGTTTTTGACGCACCATCTTTGTCATTATTAAGTTGGAAAATTTTGCTCAATAATAAATCTAAAAATTCTTTCAATAAACACAGTAAGTTTTTAAAATAATTTGCTTCAACAAATAGCGCTTTTCGAGCGACCAAGAGTAGCTGCAACAAAAGTCCTCATCAAATTTATCATATAGGAAGATCATGTTTGCAAAATTTCGAGAACTAATCATTTTTGAACTGGACGAAATTTGCATAGAATTTTCCAATGCCTGGGCTTTTATTTGGCAAAACAGATTTTTGTATGCCTGTACCACAGAATACAGCATATGCGTAAAGAAAAGAATAAGTTCTATTACTAAACTATATGCATGCATTTCTAATAAAACAAAAAATATACAAAGTGTTTAAAAATTGCTATATGTCAGCTCTTCAAGTTGAAAATTGCGAAATAGTTTTCGTTTACAAACAAAAAGTTCTCTTCTACAATTTTTTGACGAAAAGGCACAGCGGCAATGATGTTTTTTGTCATTACCTGATGGTTACAGGTGGATACCCCTTGTCAATAATAACAATCATTTGTCAAACTGTGACTTACTTTGAAGTTCTTTTCACGAATTTGCGGATATGGGATTAGTTCAGGGGAAATGCTACAGTAACATAGCAGAAGCTGAAAGAACTCACGCCAACAAATAGCGAGGAGAGTGGTTCCAGGAAGATAGTGGACCATAGATGTTCGGGTTCCAGGCACAGAGGAACACGTATTGGACAGAACCGAATCAGGGCCTTCCAGGGGCACTCAGAGCACAATAACTGACACTTTCCCAAGCACGAAATAAATACCGAGGAAGCGCTACAATCCTACCACGTTTGTACGATACACACAGCACAAGAAGATACTAATGGAGCAGGAGTTAATTAACTGAATACGAGAAGCTGCTTGATAAGAGTGGATAATAAGGAAATTACACAGGCACAGGTTGACATTTCGAAAGTACATTCATACGTAGTCAACGAATCTTGTTGAATTTACTGTTTATCCTTGTCTATCATAAGTAAATAATTACGAAGCAAACAGGTATTTGCGCAATGTTAATTAGGCAGATTACCTTGAAAAACACTGCTGCCGTATTTCTGATATAGTTTTTCGCAAATTTCTCAGTTTTTAATAACAATTAACTTCTTTAACTATTTTTT